CCACCTTAAAATCAACCGAGTTGAGCATGTGGAATTTTTTAATGGCCCTGATGCATTCCTCTCTGTTATGAAACTTGTACTTCTCTTTTAAATTTTCATCCGACTGCATATACGGATTGAAAAATAAGTCAGTAGAAGGTTCATCTCCGCCCATGTTGAAGTTTGTCATGTGCGGAGGTGGTGTGTAGATTTTGTTTGCAGGAATGCCAGGGATGCCATCATCGTCAGGATCATCATTCACCATTTCATCAAACTCTAACTCGTTATCTTCTTCTTCATCATCAACTGCATCTACCTCAGATTGTTCATTCTCCAAAGGATCAACCTCTTGTGTCACCTGAGGCTCTCGCAGCATAACGTACAACTCAATAGAGTCGTACCCAGAATAGACATGGCTGGAAAACATATTCTGGAGATCCTCGTCATCTTGAACTTCAACCTTATAAAAAATTACTTGGTTGTTTCCAAAGAAAACTAGATTCTGATAAAATATCTGGGACACCGGGCCTCGTTCAAGTTTGGCCTCCAATCTTTTTTTGAAGTACGAGAAATTGGCTTTCCCGTTTAAGAGAAATCGGATGTTGTCTGTGTCTCTAAACAAAAACCCAGCGGTGGGACAAATGTATGTCTCACCGTTGAAATGTGCTTTGACGACAAATTGTGGTGCAGAGGCCATTGCGTAGAATTGTTTTAAGGTTTGAAGGTTGGAATGTTTGAATTTTATGAGTGATTCGAAGGTTGGAATGTTTGAGGTTTATTGATTGTATGAAGGTTTGAATGCTGTAAGGTTTGAAGGTTGGAATGTTTGAACTTTATGAGTGATTCGAAAGTTTATGTGTTTGATTGTTTGAAGGTTTGAAGGTTTGATTGTAAGAACGTTTGAAGGTTGGAAGATTTGACAGATTAAGTGAATGAATGTTATGATAAACGCAAGACTAAAAATTTCAATTAAGTAAGGATGCAACCCCCAAGGCTGCCAATAGTGTTACATGCAAGGAATCCCAAAGGCTGTCACCTAGCCTGAGCCTAGCCTACAACAAAGGACACCTCTTATTCGCCAATTGGGGTGGCGACACCATTCATTTTTGTACTCTTTCGCCAAGTCAAATGGCGCCTCCCTTACTGTCCAATCGTGATACATGCATGCAAATATGTAACCCCCTAGGCTGCCACCTAGCCTGCGCCTTCTCTGCACCTATACTGTATGTTGTAAGTCCCCTCCCATCACCTCCAATGGGCTTACATGCATTCAGGAAAGGAATCCCAAAGGCTATCACCTAGCCTGAGCCTAGCCTGCAACAAAGGACACCTCTTATTCGCCAATTGGGGTGGCGACACCATTCATTTTTGTACTCTTTCGCCAAGTCAAATGGCACCTCCCTTACTGTCTAATCGTGATACATCCTTAGGATGCCACCTAGCCTGCAAGAGTGACACCTTTCATTTTTTGTACATGCATGCATGCATATATGTAACCTCCTAGGTTGCCACCTAGCCTGCAAGAGTGACACTTCGCATGCATGCAAGCACCAACAACCACTATATGAAATTTATTTGCCTATAAATACATACCATATCATACATCTCTCACGCCCACACAAGTCTCACTCTCTGCTACGAAATCTTTCATAGTCTTTCATACTCTCTATCTCTTCCTAAGTCTTTCATACTCTCTATCTCTTCCTAAGTCTTTCATAATCTCAAGCATTTTAAACAATGACTCTTCTAACAATGGGCGATACTCACAGAGGCACAAGGGAAAACATTTCCGCATTTGTAAGTTTCTATTTTGGTTATACATTTTTCATACTTCAGATAATGCGTTGTTCGTCTTACTTAATCTTACACATGTTACATTATGAACTCATGACACAAAAAGATTCAGAATTCGTTCTCACAACTACCTGGCTCCCGACCCATTTATCGTACCATATCTGGAATACGCAGGTTTTGGACATGTCATAAAGATCTCCAACTGCACCATTGACTCGAGGTTCATTCTTGCAATGTTGGAAAGGTGGAGACCAGAGACCCATACATTTCACCTACCAATAGGTGAATGTACCATCGCGCTAGAGGATGTGTACATGCTACTAGGTCTCCCTGTCGACGGTAAGGCCGAGAACGGGTCGGTTCAACAACCCAACTCTCAGTGTGAAGAACTGTTGGGAAGGGATATGGTGGAAGGTGGTGGTGCGAGAGGTCAGAGAATACTACTCACTGAGCTGAAAAGTCATTATACAAGTTTGGAATTAAACGGAAATTCCTCTGAGAATGACAGGGTAGTAAAAGTCAGAACTTATCTTATGATACTATTTGGTACCTTTTTATTTCCCGAAAGTACGGGAAATCGTGTAAATTTTATGTATTTACATTTACTAAGAAATTTTGAAAAAACAAGAAAATATAGTTGGGGTTCTGCAGTTTTAGCCCACCTATACAGTTCCTTGTGCAAAAATGCAGTCAAGGAAAAATGTACATTTTATGGGTGCGCTTTTTTACTACAAGCCTGGGGTTGGTGGAGGATGGAGTCCTTAAACCCCGTCAACAACAACACTTTCGGTTTCCCGTACGCAACAAAGTAAGTCATCAAGTTATATCATTTATTACTATTCATCTCTTCCCCAAATATATGCTAAGAATAAAATGTTTTTCATTTCCTTTAGGTACTGTGTGAGGGGTATGGATTACGGCAAGAATCCAAGATTCAATGTCGCACTATACCGCAATCTGTTGGATCACTTAGGCCCGGATGACGTACGTCGTAGCTTTTAACTTTTCTTCATTTAAATTATTTATACATTACTTTTGCGTTAACCTGATTTAAATTTTATCGCAGTTCGTCTGGAGACCATATTTGGGTTTGGGCTATGATCCAAACCCGGAGGATGCAGCAACTTGGACCGCGAAGACTGCAATCATTCGGTTCAACATTGTGGAGATGCACCACAGCGACCGTGTGAAGATGCAGTTCGAAATGCATCAAGAGATACCAAGTGATCCAACTTGTTTGTCCCCATGGCATCTTAAAAGGGTCGACGCCCAGTAGGGTCTTACCAACTGGAAAGACTTCGCTCCGGAATGGTGTAAGATGTGGCAGAGGCGTCACCGCTATGTCTTGCAATTCCCGGTTTTCCTTAATCAAGGTAATATGCGACACACAGATCAATATTTGTCTTGGTACAGGTCGGTTAGTAACCCTGAAATGCACGTGTCTCATCCAAGGTACTTGGTTGACCCACGCACACAATGAGCACAACCCTCGTTTCCCCAACAACAAACCCAAAACCCATCAACCTCCCACCAACCCCCAAGAAGAAACAGACCCACAAACACCCAACCACAGTCCCCACCACAACACAATTAGACTCAAATGCCACACAACCAACCACAATCACCACCACACTACCAATACCCCAATATGCCTCACACTCAACCACAATACCAATCCCAATACCAGCACACCCGCATACCCCACACATAATTTCAGTCTTCCGTATATCCCAATATGGGCCCCTCAACATCCAGCCTTAGCCCTGATATGGGAATGTCAGAAGATTACGAACAAACCGACCCAGCCTACCATCAACCACAATATCACCAAACCACCCAACATCCTCAATACCAAACACCCCAAGATCCATTTCCTTTCTACCCACCGTACTCAGACGACCAATGCTACCGACCCACTATGGAACCCCACCCACCGCCAACACGACCAAACTTTGAGGGTATGGGTAACCGACTGTACCAAAGCGGATTTTCTAGATATGGAGATCTGACTGATTTTATGGATCCGGACCGCATTGACTTCGCTGGGCCATCGACCTTGCCGCAACAGGAAACGCGACGACACCCAGCACGAGAAAGGCGAGGACGGGGATGCGAAACCGGGGGATATTACCGGGTTCCGGGGGATCACTGATTTATCTGTTTTTTTTTCCTGTATTTTTTTATTCGTTTTTTTAATCTGTTTTTTTTAATCTGTTATTTTAATGTAATACAGGTGGATGTAATTATTATTTTTTAAAATAAAAACTCTATTTTGTTGATCCTGTATCCAACACGCAACGCACCGGACAAAAAAAATTACATTTTGCCCTAAAATAACACCTAGGCGCCATCTCACTTAGCTTAGGGCATGCCCTAAGCACATAGGCGCCAAGTGAGATGGCGTCTCCCCTTAAAAATTGGGTGCATGCGCCAATTCAGATGGCTCCTCCTTTGGGGAGTCATCTGAAACATGGTTATTTGCGTAATTTTTTCCGAAACGCGGTTATTTGCGAATTTTTTTTAATACATGATTATTAATAAAAAAAATTCTGATTTTGAAAATTTGTTTATTTAAAGTTAGAATTATAATTTTTATTTCTAAAATTGATTTTAAATAATTTTTATATAAAAATTTATTATTCAACTTATTCATAATAAAATATATCATAAATTAATTCTATTAAATTTCATTCTAATAAAATTAATTTTACCAAATTCAATTCTAAAAAAATTAATTTTCTCCGCGTTCAATTCAAACACATCCTTATTAATAATAATAATAATAATAATAATAATAATAATAATAATAATAATAATAATAATAATAATAATAATAATAATAATAATAATAATAATAATAATAATAATAATAATAATAATAATAATGATGTATACTCATCATACACAACACGACACAAGATCACATTACATAGTACATACCAACTTTTAACCTTTTCAATGGGCGCCCCCCACTTTATGTATTAAACTACCACCCACCGAACCCAACACGGTCTTATCCATGGCACATTCATTCTTTTACAAACAAACAAAACAAGGTGCCCCCACCCCGAGAAAGTCTATTACATTATTCATGCTTCCAAACTCATCCTTATCCAAAACCCTCCTAACTTCCCTTCCTATTAATAATTTTTTCTTTTCGGTAAGGAAAAAAAAAACATAACCAGAACAAACCAATCTCATTAGTTTCACATTATCGTACAAGAAATATGTCTGACATTGCTATGTTAGTTGCTGAGGAGTATGAGAGAAGGGTCAAGAATTTGAAAACCAGTGCTGCTGCTTCTAATGGTGGTGCTGTAAAAACATGGGAGATTGACATGTCTTGTTTTTCGCTATTGGTTTCCAAGTTGAAGGAGGAGAAGAAGCAACTTGTTCAGTGTGTGTTGGAGCCTAAAACACAGTTTGCTGTTGCTGCTTCTAACAGCTTCTTTTCTGCTTGATCAAACAACATGTTCTGCACTGTGTCTGATTGTGTAATTTGTTTTTCTTGTCTTCTATTTTTCATGAAGTCTTGTGTATATGTCTGATAGCTATGTTTGGAATTTGAATCCGAATTAAAGGTAATTTTTGTAATAGAGTTTCGATCACTTGTTTATATGTTTGGAATTAATTTAAAATGGAAATGACTCTAATTTTCATAAAAATTGGTTACTGAGTTTCTTAGACATTTTAGTGTATGTACGATTTCATCAAACATCCAACATTGAATACTTAGAATTGATTCTTTAATATTGAATTTAGAGCCAGATTGTTTTAGTTTTTGTTAAATGAATTTTATTGTATTATATAATTTATTATAAAAAAATCTATATTGATTTGAATAATTATTCATAAAATATTATTTTATGTATTTTATGTTCTTACTGAAAATATGTTGGGATATCAAAATTTTAAAAAATCACTTAATTTTGAAACTATTTCAAATAGATTTTTATAAAAATTATTTTTAAAATATAATTTTTTTGAAAAAATTGTAATTTTGATTATATTTTTGTCTTCAATAATACATGTTTATGTTATAAGATGTTAAAATTAGTGTTTCAATTTAAGAAAAAAATAAATACAAAAAAATTTATAATATTTCAAAAAACGATTTTGTAAAATTTATTTTCAAAAATATAAAAAAAAAATTCATTTTTTTAAAGCTAAAACAAAATTCATATTTTGACACGTTTGGTTTTATCATATAAGATTGATTCTGTTTTTTTAAAAATTTATTCTATTTGTAAATAAGATTCAAACGTGATTTTTATCTTAATTTGCAAAATTTTATTATAATAGAAATTTCATTTATTTTTAATTTTGTTCTGCTGCAAATCAGAAATTGAAAAAATTGCAGAAACTACTTGAGCGAAGTATTCTAAACTATTTAGTGATGCAACATCAATGATCGAAGGTTGCGATCGTGGTGTCTCTTGAATCTGAAACATTGATCTTGAATCAATGTCGTCAATCGATGTTGATCTTGAATTGTCGTTGGTAATCTCCGATGAAGCGGATCAAGGGTGTACCTACATGGTTGCACTCCAACGTTCAAGTCAATTTAGGGTTCAAGATAATTGTAGTGAAAGTGGAGATAGAGTTTGTGTATCTGAAAATCCTTTGTGAAAGTGTTTATACTTTGGGTTCAATGGTGCAGACAAAATAAGTGGGTCATTGGCTGGTATACAACAGTTGTCTCCAAGACTCGTCGGACACTCTGGATGTTGGAGGAGTCTTTCAGCATTCGTGGCCAAGCTTTGGGAATGATTGTCCAAGCGTCGACTGTCATTCGTTGCTTTGGTTTTACCAAAGTGTAATGGGGAACTTGAGCATTAATGGCAATTCCATCACTAAAACGTTTTTCTCTTGACGTGTGACCTAAAAAGGGAGAAAGTTGTGTGATGATGCTTACTGTGCACTTGAGTGTACTTGAGTTTAGTTGTGTTTCCAAGAGGAAATATAACTGTTGATCCACAATTGCTTCTTACTTTCAATTTGATCCGCCCAATTGTCTTCGCCTATATAAGGATAAAAGAATTGTGGAGAAACTTTTCACAATCTTTAAGGCTGAGTTTCCTTTGTTTCTATCGAGTCTTTATGTTTCCTTTGAGAGTGTTTTTACAAGAGTAACCGTTTTCCCGCATTAAAAGTTTCAAAGCTTCAAAACTTCGACTTTCAACCTTCTTATTGCTTCCCTGCCTATGACCATACATTTCAAGGTACCTTTTTTCACCTCAGATTTTCTATTTAAGCATTTATTGTAACTTTTTTGCGATGAGCGATAGCCCTATAATTATAGAGTGGGTAGTGCTTCTTCCTCTACGAGAAGGAGGATGGAACCTAAATCACCTTCTCTTCCCTCTACTAGTGGGGATTTTCGATCATGGATCATTTCTCTGATCAGAGGTTTAGAAATAGAAGGAGAGTGTGAGGACTGCTTTTCCGGGGGAACTTCTTCCAACAACTTTTCAAGAACTCTCCCTTTAGGAAAAATCGGCAGGGTGAAGTTTCTGTTGAGAAACTAATACATTCCCTTATCTTAACTGAGGTTGAGAAACCGGTGGGTGAGGTTTCAGTTTGCATAATTTGTCTAATACAGAAAGCGATAAATAATATTTGCTTAAATTTTAAATAACCTTAAGTCATTTATGACACCATGTTTGGATTCTTTATTTGTGAGCATGTCGCATTATGATCTATGTGTTGTCTTGAAGAGGCGTTGGACCATTTGGAAGTGGCTATAATTGGAGTGTGCTTGCGCAAGTGAAGCATTGGTTGAACCTAAGGTGTCAATATGTCGGATTCATAATGGTGAAACATGAGCTCAAGTTTGGGATTTTATGCTTTGAACCTCATATGTAATGATTTAGCATATAGCCGGCTGGACGCAACTATGCTTTGAATCATATTCATATCAATAAGGCATGATCCTGGTTAAATGAGGTTATAATTTGAATTATACTTATAGATGAGGGACATGAAACCAGCTTGATGTGACCATGCTTTTGAACTGCGATATGTGTAATAGAAGATCATTCCCCTACCAAAGATATAAGATTCTCGTCTCTCTTCTTGAGGTAAAATCTCGGATCGAGGTGGACGTCTCTAGGATCCACCACTCACGACCCTTGGATTGGCTCTATCCAAAGGGGGGGTGTTCCAACTATGCATGGATGTGTGTAGTTCTTTGACAAAGGGGTATTTGATTGTTGTACTCGGATGTTCAAAGCGTCTCCGATAGCACCCTAGAGGAGTTGGTTGCTTTAGTTGGACATGGAAAGCGTCTCCGACAACTCCCTTGGATTCTTTAGGTGCACTCGGTGCTTGAGGGATTTGATTTCTTTATTCGGACGTACAAAGCGTCTCTGACATAACCCCTAAAGTCTTTAGGTGGTTCGACGCTGAGGGGAATTGATTGCTTTAGTCAGACGTAAAAAATGTCTCAAACAACACCGTTGAAGTCTTTAGGTGCGCATGACTCTAAGGGGAAATGATTGCTTTAGTCGGACGTGTAAAACGTCTCCGATAGTTCCCCTGAAGACTTTAGGTGCACTTGGAGATGAGGGGAATTGATTGTTTTAGTCGAACATACCAAGCGTATTCGACAACACCCATAAAGTCGTTAGGTCGGTTATTGAATGTGTTGTTTGTACCCTGGTTCGCTATTACGTGCAATCACACTTTGGTGCCCTAAAGAAGGAACATGATAGAAAGCAGAGTAGCAAGAATATAATAGCGGAATATGCAACAATCCCTCTAACTGACAGTTCGAGGACCACTCTACCCGAACTAGGGGAGAAAGGTTTGGCTTCCATAACACCTTAGTCTTTTTCCTTCTTGTAGAGACCCCTCATGATGACCCACATGTTGTATGAAAAACAACATAACACACGTTGGTGGAATGTTTAGAATACTTAAAACTCAATACAATTTTAAAACACGTGAATTTTTTTACCAAATAGTTTTTTCCTATCTTGGGTAGTAACTGAATCCACCACCGTCTGGGTGCTAATAAACCATTTCCCTTGAGCCATGGGAGAAGCGCTACACCCTTCTTCAACATTCTGTTGGACCAAGTAAGCCATCAAATTGGATTTCATTGACCGTTCAGAGGCCTTGAGAGAGTGATATGGGATGTAGTAGATGTTAGAGTCATGATCAAAATTGTCTGGGGATCAATAACTCTAGATCCTATTTGTCCCTATATCTTGTGCCAAATCGATAGTGGTAGAAGAGGTGAAGTTGCAAACTAAAATTTGACAAAACTCGAAATGGACGACCAAGGTAAGGGGCTGCGCCCGATAATAATGATCCTTGAGGTATTTCCATCTGTCAATGTAGACATTGAAGATTTTATTTTCCTGGCGCTAAGAAATTAACCCTCGATCGTGACCCCATTTCTTAGTGGTGTGGGAGAATTGAAAAATATGGAAAAATAGATTCACTAAAGCGGAACCCTCATGCCTTTTATAGACATACCAATGTTGGAACATCTTGACTAAAACCAAAGCAACACGATGTAGTTGAGAAGCGGAAAAATGTAAATGCTCAAGAACCTCCTTTCTCGAGCTTGGTGAGAGGAAATCTCAACTTCAGCCTTTAGAACAAACACCCTTAGATGGGAATAGAGGACCCCCAAAACAAGCTGCATATTTTTCTGTAAACATCAACGAAAGAAATAGACCACTTGAATGATGAACCTACATCCACAAAGGCACCTTCAATGATAGAGGTAATGCTGAATATGAAATTTATTCCCTGAGTTCAGAATCTACCCACTGGTACTGAGCAAAATTTGAAGCCTTCACCCAGTCCTATCAGTGCACCCTATTTGCTTGACTACCATGAAAAAAAATTTTCTATAAGGATTGACAAAAGGGTTATACATTTCTTTATGAACCCTAGCCTATGTGTTGGTAGGAACCCTCTGATCGTCGCCCCAAGGTACCTTATAGAGAAATTGGTTCGAAACTCTTCCTAGGCTACCAAACTAACGCCCAAATTTGAATAAGCTCGGGCGAGGGAGATAACACGAGCAATAACTTCCTAGCCTCAGGATCATTATCGCCATCTGTAAATTCCAACCTAGACTTGGGACTATTGCTGAGCATATATAGGTCGTATACATAATAATTAATCTCCAAAAGGTTGCCATACAAAATCTCTACAAGGTCAATTTAGTTTTTAATAATCACTTCAATAAAAATACAACTAATTGTTAGTACGATTTAAGATCGGTTTAAAATCAATTTAAATTTATAAACCGATTTATGATTAATTTTGAATTTATAACCTATTTTAAAATTTGAACCCTTTTAAAATTAACTTGTTTCAATTTTTTAAAAAATAATATAAAAATTTAAAAACTAGTTTTTTGTTTTAAAAAATTCAATACAGTTCGTTTTAAATATAATTCAACTACCATATTTTTTAACCCATAAGGAATACAAAACACAAC